TTGAGCAGTGGTTTGTAGTTCTCCTTGAAAAGGTCCTTTACATTCCTTGTTAGGTGTATTCCTAGGTATTTTATTCTCTTTGTAGCAATTGTGAATGGCAGTTCATTCTTGATTTGGCTCTCTTTAAGTCTGTTGTTGATGTATAGGAATGCCTGTGATTTTTGCACATCAATTTTGTATCCTGAGACATTGCTGAAGTTGCTTATCAGTTTCAGGAGTCTTGTAAATATACAATCATGTCGTCTGCAAATAGAGACAATTTGACTTCCTCCTTTCCTATTGAATACCCTTTATTTCTTTTTCTTGCCTGATTGCTCTGGCTAGAACTTCCAATACTATATTGAATAGCAGTGATGAGAGGGCATTCTTGTCTAGTGCCAGATTTCAAAAAGAATGTTTCCAGTTTTGCCTATTCAGTATATATTGGCTGTTGGTTTGTCCTAAGTAGCTTTTATTATTTTGAGATATGTTCCATCAATATCTAGTTTATTGAGGGTTTTTAGCATAAAGGGCTATTGAATTTTGTCAAAGGCCTTCTCTGCATCAATTGAGAAAATCATGTGGTTTTTGTCTTTGGTTCTGTTTATGTGCTGAATTATGTTTATAGACTTGCATATGCTGAACCAGGCTTGCATCCCTGTGATGAAGCCTACTTGATCATGGTGGATAAGCTTTTTGATGTGCTGTTGCAATCGGTTTGCCAGTATTTTATTGAAAATTTTTGCATCTATGTTCATCATAGATATTGGCCTGAAGTTTTCTTTTCTTGCTGAGTCTCTGCCAGGTTTTGGTATCAGGATGATATTGGTCTTATAAAATGATTTGTGAAGTATTCCTTCTTTTTGGATTGTTTGGAATAGTTTCAGAAGGAATGGTACCAGCTCTTCTTTGTATGTCTGGTAGAATTCGGCTGTGAACCCATCTGGACCTGCACCTTTTTTCGGTGATAGGCTCTTAATTGCTGCCTCAACCACTGCCCTTATTATTGGTCTGTTCAGGGTTTTGACTTCTTCCTGGTTTAGACTTGGGAGGATGCAAGTGTCCAGGAATTTATCTATTTCTTCCAGGTTTACTAGTTTATGTGCCTAGAGTTATAATAATCTCTGATGATGGTTTGTATTTCTGTGAAATCTGTAGTGATATCCGCTTTATCATTTTTTATTGCATCTATTTGATTATTCTCTCTTTTCTTTTTTATTAATCTGGCTACTGGTCTGTGTTTTGTTGATCTTTTCGAAAAACCAGCTCCTGGATTTATTGATTTTTTGAACGGGTTTTCGTGTCTCTATATCCTTCAGTTCTGCTCTGATCTTAGTTATTTCTTGTCTTCTGCTAGGTTTTGGGTTTTTTTGATCTTGCTTCTTTAGCTCTTTCAATTTTGACAATAGTGTGTTGATTTTAGATCTTTCTTTGCTTCTCATGTGGGCATTTATTACTGTATATTTTCCTCTAGACACTATATATTTGTCCCAGAGATTCTGGTACATAGTGTCTTCATTCTCGTTGTTTTCAAAGAACATCTTTATTTCTGCCTTCATTTCATTGTTTATTCAGTCAACATTCAAGAGCCAGTTGTTCAGTTTCCATCAAGCTGTACAGTTCTGAGTCAGTTTCTCAATTCTGAGTTCTAACTTGATGGCACTGTGGTCTGAGAGACTGTTTGTTATGATTTCTGTTCTTTTGCATTTGTTGAGGCATGATTTACTTCCAATTATGTGGTCAATTTTAGAGTAGGTGTGGTGTGGTGCTGAGAAGAATGTATATTATGTGGATTTTGGGGTGGAGAGTTCTGTAAATGTCTACTAGATTTGCTTGTTCCAGGTCGGAGTTCAAGTCCTGGATATGCTTGTTAATTTTCTGTCTCATTGATCTGTCTAATATTGACAATGGGGTGTTAAAAGTCTCCCACTATTATTGTGTGGGAGTCTAAGTCTCTTTGTAAGTCATTAAGAACTTGCTTTATGTATCTGGGTGCTTCTGTATTGGGTGTGTATATATTTAGCTCTTCTTGTTGCATCGATCCTTTTACCATTATATAATGTCCTTTTTGTCTCTTTTGATCTTTGTTGCTTTAAAGTCTATTTTATCAGAGACGAGAATTGTAACTCCTGCTTTCTTTTGCTCTCCATTTGCTTGGTAAATCTTCCTCCATCCCTTTATTTTGAGCCTTTGTGTGTCCTTACATGTGAGATGGGTGTCCTGGCTACAGCACACCAATGGGTTTTGGCTTTTTGTCCAATTTGCCAGTCTGTGTCTTTTGATTGGGGCGTTTAGCCCATTTACATTTAGGGTTAATATTGTATGTGTGAATGTGATCCTGCCATTTTGATGCTAGCTGGCTATTTTGCTCGTTAGTTGATGCAGTTTCTTCATTTTGTCAATGCTCTTTACCATTTGGTATGTTTTTGGAGTGGCTGGTACAGGTTGTTCCTTTATATGTGTAGAGCCTCTTTCAGGAGCTCTTGTAAAGCAGGCCTGGTAGTGATGAAATCTCTGAGTACTTGCTTGTTCGCAAAGGATTTTATTTTTCCTTCACTTATGAAGCTTAGTTTGGCTGGATATGGGATTCTGGGTTGAAAGTTCTTTTCTTTAAGGATGTTGAATATTGGCCCCCACTCTCTTCTGTCTTGTAGGGTTTCTGCTGAGAGATCTGCTGGGAGTCTGATGGGCTTCCCTTTGTGGGTAACCTGACCTTTATCTCTGGCTGCCCTTAGCATTTCATCCTTCATTTCAACCCTAGTGAATCTGACGATTATGTGCCTTGGGTTTGCTCTTCTTGAGGAATATCTTTGTGGTGTTCTCTGTGTTTCCTGCACTTGAATATTGGCCTGCCTTGCTAGGTTGGGGAAGTTTTCCTGGATAATATCCTGAAGAGTATTTTCCAGCTTGGATTCATTCTTTCTATCACATTCAGGTACACCCTACAAACGTAGATTCGTTCTTTTCACATTGTCCCATATTTCTTGGAAACTGTGTTCATTCCTTTTTACCCTTTTTTCTCTAATCTTCCTTCTCATTTTATTTCATTGAGCTTTGACCTCTGATATCCTTTCTTCTGCTTGTTCAATTCGGCTGTTGAAACTTGTGTATGCTTCGTGAAGTTCTTGTGCTGTGTTTTTCAGCTCCATCAGTTCACTTATATTCCTCCCTAAGTTGTTTATTCTCGTTAGCATTTCATGAAATCTCTTTTCAATGTTCTTAGTTTCTTTGCATTGGGTTAGAACATGTTCTTTTAGCTCAGCAAAGTTTATTACCCACCTTCTGAAGCCTGTTTCTGTCAATTCATCACACTCGTTCTCCATCCAGCCTTGTTCCCTTGCTGGTGAGGAGTTGTGATCCCTTGTAGGAGGAGAGGCGTTCTGGTTGGGTGTTTTCATCTGTTTTGTGCTGGTTTCTTCCCATCTTTGTGGATTTATCCACCTGTTGTCTTTGTAGTTGTTGGCTTTCCGATTGGGTCTCTGAGTGGACGTCCAGTTTGTTGATGATGAAGCTATTCCTTTCTGTTTCTTAGTTTCCTTCTAACATTCAGGCCCCTCTTCTGTAGGACTCCTGAGGTCCACTTCAGGCCCTTTTTGCCTGGGGATCACCTGCAGCAGCTGCAGAACCATAAGGGTTGCTGCCAGTTTCTTCCTCTGCTTTCTTTGTCCCAGAAGGATACCCACCCGATGTCAGGCTGAGCTCTCCTTTATGAGGTGACTCTTTGGATATACGGGGGTCAGGGAGCTGCTTGAGGAGACCGTCTGTCCTTTATAGGAGCTCAAGTGCTGAGCTGTGAGCTCCATTTTTCATTCAGAGCTGCTGGCCAGGTATGTTTAAGTCTGCTGCAGCAGAACTCATAAATCCCTTTTTGTTTTTTCCCAGGTGCTCTGTCCTTAGGAGTTAGGGCTTTATTTATAAGTTTCTGTCATGCTGCTGCCTTTTTTCAGGGCTCCCCTGCCCAGTGAGGAGGCAGCCTAGTCACTGTCTGCCTGCAGAGGCTTTGCTGAGCTGCTGTGGGATCTGCCCAGCTGCTGTGTGAACTTTCCTGCAGTCCTTTTTATACGGGTATAGTTAGAGCTGCCTCGGTAATGGCGGCTCACCTCTGTAATGGTTGACTCTCTCTGTAATGGCAGACTGCCTTGGCAATGGCGGCCCTCCTCTGTAATGGTGGACTACCCCCATAGTCGTGGACTGGCTCGGTTATGACGGACGCTCCTCCCCCACAGAGCTGGACCATCCCAGGTTCAGCTGTGGTTGCTGTGAAACTCTCAGTCCAGAGCGTTTCAGATTGCTGTTTCTTTGTGGGGTTGGGACCAGCCAAGTGTGATCACCTGGCTCACTGCCTCAGACCCCCTTTTTTTTTTTTCAGTTGAACAGGCGACTCTGTCTCCCAGGTGTTCCAGTCACCTGTTGAAAAGGTGCCAGGATCCGTGTGATTTCCTGTGCGGCGACCCACTGTGCAGGCTGAAACAGCCGCACTGAGATTCATGGCGCTTTTTTGCCTGGGAATCTCCTGGCCTGGCTCCCTGTTTCAGTCCCCTTTTTTATCAGTTGAATGAGCCACTCTGTCTCTCAGGAGGTCCAATCACCAGCTAAAATGGTGCCTGGACCCATGTTTTTTGTGTGAAGATCCATGCACTGGCCAAAACAGCCGTGCTGGCAACCTGTGGGGCTTCTCTGCCTGGGAATTTCCTCATCTGTGGGCAATAAAAATCTGTCTGGAAATGCGGCGACCACTCACCCTCTGCGCTTTCACTGGGAACGGCAATCCTGAGCTGCTCCTAATCGGCCATCTTCAACATATTAATTTCTAGCACTTTGAAATCCATGCTCCTGTCAGAATACCCCTCTTCTATTTTTTCTGTGCTTTTCTATTTCTCTGGTTAACTAACTTAATATCATGAATTAGATCAATGTTTCTTTTATGTTTGAGCACATTTCCAATGCTAGTATTCCTGCTTTGGGCCTGGATGACTTTTGCAATGGGTTAATCATCTAATCCATTACTTTGATTTTTTTAAAATACTATCACCATTATATGTTGACCTCATTTCACGATCCTAGAAGGAATCCTTTCATGGTTTCCTGAATATACAACCTTACTTTACAACTATACAACCTGACTATACAACTTTACTTTAAATAAAACTGAATGATTGCAAAAAATTTTACCCCAGAGTCTTTTTATTAGGGATTCCTGCTACCATATTAACATATAAAACAGTCTGGATGTTGACATAGAAATGCAAATTTCACTATACAAAGATAAGGCTCCAATCACAGTAACATGGCCCCCATATCTCTAGTATTTCAATGAAATGAACTCATTGTGAATTCACCCCGTTTTGTTTAGAAATATTAGACAAACCACAAAATAAATTCCAAATACATAACATTTTACAATACTGTTCAAGCACAGACAAATACATACTTTACCTACATTGTTTTCATGATCCAACTTACATTAGCACTAAAGGCAAGAATGTGTGTGTATATGTATTTGCCATATAAGTGTATGTGTGTGTGTATATATATATCCACAAATGAATATACAGTGGCATTCATGGAACATTTAACCCTTTCAGGCTGTGGGTATTACCCACCATAGTATCCGGGAGGGAAAAGAAACAATAATATGTCACAAATTATTCAATTGGGGCAAAATAAACACATTTATGAAGAACATATATGTTGTGTCCATTCAAAGACACACATATATACAGATTCATATATAAAAACACACATACCAATAATATGGAATATACATATACTCGCACACTTGCTTTAAACTCTGTATCTCACTATATTATATACTGTCCGTCTCTGGAAGCAGTCTTTTCCTCATTCAATTCAGGCAACTGGTGACTATCTTCTAATACAACTTAAATGGATATTTCTAAAAGGCTCTAATTCTATGCCAAACAGATGGCATTTCAAGATTCTGGTTTAACTTTTGATGGCTGTTTAAATTCAGCAGACCCTATTCTGTCAGCTTCTTCACTTAAAAACATTTCTATTCAACAATGAAGTTTCCACCTAAGAGAAAAGAGATATTAGCTGGAAATGTTAAAATAATATATTTATCACTCCTTAATATAAATCTGTATGTTTGGATTACATGTGATATTTATCCTATTTTTCAAGCATTTTACAATGGAAAATATATTATTTCCATAATTTAAAAAATACTATATATTTTTTGAAAGAGTGAGGGCCAGATGATTTGTCATAGTTAGAACGTCAGAGAAAATTATATGATGCATGATCAGAAGGGGACTAATTTTGTGCAGACCACACTGAAGTTCCCTTATGTTAGAAAGGCTGACTTAGAAGTCTTATAAGAAAAGGAGAAAAATACAAATTTCAATTTCAAAGCTAGCCATCCGCAAGTTCCAAAATAAATTGTTGAGGGTTTCAGTCACAGAAAATATATTTCTATATCAGTATCAAATTTCAGGCAGTAAACAATCTTTATTGAAAAGCAAAATCACTGAAAGCACACAAAAAAGGAAACCCTTCAAACTTAATGGCAAATATATACTGTCATTTGCTCAACTTCAGGCTTCATGAACTGACTTTCAAAACTTATTTCCAAAATTAAATGTCCAATGAAGCATTCAGAGCTCCACTGAGTGAGTGGAACTGGAATGCCCAATTTAGAAATCATGCTAATGATAGGGTTGGAGGTCATTAGTTAGATTACAAGTGGGCCCTATATCTTTGTACATTAAGGCAGTGGAATGTTTTCAATCCACAGAGAAGCTGTATACTCCATGCCATAAGCTCTAGACTCTTTTCTTTCTCCCACATAACACAATATCAGTGGGTAGTCTGCATGAGAAGGCATCAGTATCTGGCTGATGGTGCAATGCTCTAATGCCTTTACTGATACCATTAAATCCTTTGATTAAATCCTTTCAATCATAGATTTAATGGTATCAAGGAAGGTACTAGAGCATTGGTCCCCTCTACAGTCTGGTTAGGGAGTCATGTCACTACTTTACCCAGAATGAATTGGTATATCATCTGATGAGCCCTCTCCAGTTTCTCTACGGAAGTCAGATCTTAACGGGGAAAGGAAAGGAAAGGAAATGACCACCACAAAGCATGATCATGGACATGTATCAAAAAGCCATTCATTTTCTCTCTCTCTCTCTCCCTCACACACACACATACACACACACACACACACTCACATACAAGCACTATTTTGTAGTTTCTTCTATAGAATCACAACAAATGGCATAAAGAATCAAAATATTTACCTTAAAGTTACTCCACTTTTATTTCGATCCACTTAAGCATCTTCACGTTAACTCAGACAGCGAGTACACTGCCCTCCACATCATCGAACGCTGGCATCACCATCACTTTCATAAAATAGACCATTTGCCTGCCATTATTTGCCTGCCAGCCTCACCAGAACTCTTTTTTGCCTCTTTTCATTTCTCCAGTTCCTATCTGCTTTCACTCTTGGGTTAATGTACACTGATACGCAACTGACCGGCACATCTTTTACCTTTTTCCTTTAAAGTCTCACTTTCTTTTTAAAACATCTGCTTCCCCAGCCAAAATATATGGACAGAATATAAATGAAAATAACAAGTCCTCTTGTCTAAATACTTTGAAAATTGGACCACCCTGTGTCCACTTGATCCTCTCAGTTTCTACATCCTCCAGTTCCATCCTCTGTTTTAGCAGCTTACTCACTATAGTGTCTTTCTACCCATTTTATATCTCCTATGCAGATCATAACAAATCATGGTATTGTTCAGCCAAAACATATTTTTTAAAAACAAAGCCAAAACATTAAAAAATTTCTGATATACCTTTTGTGCATTAGTCTTACAATCTGTACATGTAAATAACTCCAGAAGGCTTCTTTTTTTTTTTTTTTGCTAAAAATTTACCAAAATAGTTTGAACACATAAAAATATTTTTAAAAAAACAAAACCAAAAACCCAGCATAAATTTAGTTGTATAGGCATTGGTTAGAGGACACTGTTTGCACTAAGGATTATATTCAACAACTTTCTTTTGGGTTTTTACTAAAATTCTGATTCTGAACCTTATAGCCTATAATAGTGCCAACTATCAGAGATGGGAAAATCTAATTCAGTCCAATGTATTATGTATAATGATATAACAGATAAAGGGTATGTCTATACTATAATGAAAAATAAACATATTTTTGGTTATTTAAAGACCATTTCCTAACCTATAAATAAAATAACTGTATTTGATTTAAACTTACTTAAGTGCAGTGAATTATGGAAAGCTAACTTAAAGGTTTGAATAGTCAATTATGGGTAAGGAACAGCTGTTAGCCCCGTGACCCTTCAGAACCAGGCATTTACTGAAAAAAAAAAAGTCACTAGCATTGAATATAGCCCTTAGTCATGTGAGAGATTAACTTCATGAGCAACCCAGCATGTAGAGGATGAGGTGGACTTTCCCAGCCACCCACTCCTTGAGGGGACAGTAGTATTCATAGTGAAACTGCTCAAACTCTGGTGTTTGGCGGATTTCGCATAAGAAGGAGAGATCAATACCTGACTCCAAAAGGAGGAGGAGCAGGGGAAATACAAAAAGCAGCAGTCCCAGGCCCACCACAAGGAGCCTGGAAAAACTCTTGACCAGTGGGTTCACCCGAATATGGCCAGTCAGAATGTCATAGCTCCATGACAAAGCACGGCGAGCCTCCTTCAGCTCCTCTTCTTCAGCAATCAAAAAGGCATTTTCATCTACTTCCAGATCCTCAAATGAATCTGTGTCTTCTCTTTCCAACTCAAGTCTGGATGGACAGTCAAAGAGCATGTCAATCTCATCGTCGTCCACAGGGGTGGGGAGCAGGCTGGCACTTGGGTTGTACACTAGTTCAGAGATGGTTAAGGGCTCTTCTTTGATTTTATCTTCCTCTTCACTAGGGGGATCTTCATACTCCCGGGCTGCCTTCACTGGGGAGCTGGAGATCAAGGGAGCAGAAATGTTGTCCTCTTTAGGCAATGGAACACCTGTAAAGAGACATTTTATTTTCTAAAAATTTCAGATTTTCCTACAAAAATCTGTAGGAAGAAACAGAAAAAGAAAACTAATGGCATTCAAGCAATCTATGAAATTATTTGGTGGTATCCTAACTTTTAACAAAGTCCTACTATAGTAAAAGATACTGTACCATAAGTTCAAAGGTGAACATGCTAATCGCAAACTAACCAACCAACACTTCTCAAACGGTTAGCAATATTTAAAACATTCAGGTGTGCAATTTTGATCTGCAAACCTCTAACGTTGTTCATGTTTGCAATAATAAAATGACAATAAATCACTATTATTATGAGCAGTGTTTTTTAGAGGTCAATACTATCACCCAATATATTATAGTAAAACTACATAATCTGTCATTCAATGATAATCTACTTATTATTCTGCCTTCTAGTCTTCATTTTAGACAGAATTTTGTGTTCTAGTTTTTTATATATGCAATCATATTGTATACCCAAGCTTAAATCTTAGTGCTTGCATTTAAAATTTTAAAGTAAACATTTTCTATGTTTAAACATATTCCCATTGGTACTATTTATAAAAGCTGCCAAATTTTTTATTTAGTTATGCAATAAATTAGTTGCCTATTGGCAAATATTTAGATTGCTTTGCAGTTGTAAAAAGAAAATGCCATAAGAGACATCTTTATACAGAAAGCTTCTTTTCCCCTCATTTCAGTTCGTTTGCTATAGACAGATGCTAGAAGGGAAACTGCTTAGTCAAAGGGTATGAACTTTTTTTATGTTTATTGAGAGAGATGTTTCTGAATGCCTCATTTTACTGATAGGAAATTGAGTCACCTATGACAGTCAGACCTAGGGCCAACTCTGCTAATTTTGAGTCTTGGGTTGATAGTGGGAAACACAGTTAGCAACAAAGAAGTGTCCTCCAGAATGGATCTATCATACAACCAAAATGGCAGCCAGGTGCATTAGGGAACGTAAACTAGCTTTTAATGAAGCTATTGTGTGATTTGTCTCTCTTCAAGGTGTGCAGGCATAAATTACTGGTTTTATCATTCAAAAATCAACAGATATTTCATGATAGCTCTAGTCTGATAGCACTGAGCAGTCCACATGGAAAATACCATAAAAATACAAGCAATATACAAAAGGTCAACAAGCACATGAAAGTATGCTCAACTTCATTAATCATTAGGGAAATGCAAGTCAAAACAGCAATAAAATGCCACTTTATGCCTATTGAGATGGCAACAATTTTTTTTTGAGATGGAGTCTCCTTCTGTTGCCCAGGCTGGAGTGCAGGGATGTTAGCTCAGCTCACTGCAACCTCCACCTCCCAGGTTCAAGTAATTCTCCTGCCTCAGCCTCCTGAGTAGCTTGGATTACAGGCATGCACCACCATGCCTAGCTAATTTTTGTATTTTTAATAGAGATGGGGTTTTACCATGTTGGTCAGGCTGGTCTTGAACTCCTGACCTTGTGATCCACCCACCTTGGCCTCCCAAAGTGCTGGGATTACAGGCATGAGCCACGATGCCTGGCCAACAATTTTTTTAAAAACTGAAAATAACAAGTGTTGGTGAGGATGTGAAGACATTAGAACCCTGCATTTGCCAGTAAAACTATACATGGTTGTGGCCATTGTGGGAAAAATAATTGATAGTTCCTCAAAAAATCAAATATAGAGTTACCAGATAACCCAGCAATACCATTCCCAGGTGCATACTCCAGAAATTTGAAAACATGTACTCAGAATGCTGGGACCCAAGAGGGCCAATTAGAGCAGCTGTGGTCTTTGTTGCTCATGGAGATGAATATAAAGGGGCAAGTAAATGCATCACTTTCAACTGAGATACCCAGGTTCTTGCATTGGGACTGACTGCGTGAATAGCTCAACCCACAGAGAGTAATAAAAAGCAGAATAGGGGGTGACAGCCCACGTGGAAGAGGCACAGAAGCAAAGGAACCCCCACCCCCAGCCAAGAAGTGGTGAGTGATTGTGTGACTCCACCCAGGAAACCATGCTTCTCCTTTGGATCTTTGCAACCTGTGGATCAGGTGATCCCCTGGTGAGTCCATGCAACCATGGCCTTGGGTTTGATATACAAAACTGTGTGGAATCTCGGCAGAGCAGCCACTCAGGCATACACACAGACCCAGGAGCTTTACATACTCTGGCCTCAGGATCCCCGGCCAGGCAGGAAATCCATCTGTACATATCCCTAGGAAGTGGGCTGAATCCAGGGAGCCAAGTAGCCTCATTCTCTGGTCCCCACTACCATGGCACCTCACAAGTTAAGACTTACTGGCTTGGAATCCCAGACAGTTAATGGCAGTAGGTTGGAGTCTGCTTAAAATGGCTCTAAGTACAGGGGAAAAGGGATGGTCACCATCTCTGCAGCATAGGTGACTTGGTTGCTCCAGCCTGCTGACTGTGGAGAACAGAGATCAGATGTGGAAGGGTACCCCACAATGCAGGACAGCTGCCTCCCAGATTGTGGCCAGACTGCTTCCTTAAGTGTGACCCCAATCCATTTCTCCTCACTTCATAGGACCTCCTTGTGGGGGCTTTAACCATTCTAGGCAGGATTCTACAAACTGAGCTTCGATCTCTCCCTGGGATGGAGTTCCCAGGGGGAGGGGCAGCCACTACTTCTGTGGTTTGGTCAACTCAGCTGTTCCATCCTGCTTGCTTTGGAGAAGACAGGCAGTATGAATGAGAAAGGGGCCCTGCCAATGCAGCACACCTGCTCTACCAAAAAGCAGCCAGACTGCTTCTTTGGGTAGATCTGTGATCCCAGTCCTCCTGAGTAGAACCTCACAATGGGGGTTTCCAGCCACCTCATACAGGTGCATGAAGGCCAGCAACAAGTCGGTACCTCCCTGGAATGGAGCTTCCAGTAGAAGAAGCTGGCTGCCATCTTTGCTGTTTCATGGCCTTCACTGGTGATACCTACAGGTACAGAAGAAACTAAGGCAACCGAAGTCTGAAGCACAGACCCAGCAAACTGCTGCAGCACTAGAGTAGAATAGCCCGAGTGTTAAAAGAAAAACAGACAAACAGAAAACAACAACATCAACAAAAAAGATGCCATGCAAACCTCATTCAAAGGTCACCACCTACAAAGATCGAAGGTAGACAAGCCCACAAAGATAAAAAAGAATCAGTGCAAAAACACTGAAAGCTGAAAAAGCCATAATACTTCTTGTCGTCCAAATGACCACAGCACTTCTCTAGCAAGGGCACAGAACGGGGCTGAGGCTGAGATGGATGAATTGACAGAAGTAGGCTTCAGAAGGTGGGTAATAATGAACATCACTGAGATAAAGGAGCATGTTCTAACCCAATGCAAAGAAGCTAAGAATCATGATGAAACATTACAGGAACTGACAGCCAGAATGGCCAGCTTAGAGAGGAACATAATGGACCTGATAGAGCTGAAAACACAACACAAGGACTTCACAATGCATTCACAAGTATCGATAGCAGAACAGACCAAATTGAGAAAAGAATCTCAGAGCTTAACGACTATCTTTCTGAAATAAGACAGGCAGACAAGAATTGAGAAAAAAGAACTTTAAAAAATGAACAAAACCTCCAAGAAATACGGGATTATGTAAAGAGACTGAACCTATGCCTGAATCTGATTGAGGTACCTGAAAGAGACAGGGAAAATGGAACCAAGTTAGAAAATATACTTCAGGATATCATCCAGGAGAACTTTCCCAACCTAGCAAGACATGCCAACATTCAAATTCAGGAAATGCAGAGAACCCCAGTATGTTTCTCCACAAGAAGATCATCCCCAAGACATATAATCATCAGATTCTCCAAGTTTGTAATGAAAGAAAAAATGTTAAGGGCAGACAGAGAGAAAGGCCAGGTCACCCGTAAAGGGAAATCCATCAGACTAACAGCAGCTCAGCAGAAACTCTACAAGCAAGAAAAGATTGGGGGCCAATATTCAATATTCTTAAAGTAATTTCCAACCACGAATTTCATATCCGGCCAAACTAAGCTTCATAAGTAAAGGAAAAACAAGATTCTTTTCAGACAAGCAAATGTTAAGGGAATTTATCACCACAATACCAGCCATGCAAGAACTTGTGAAGGAAGTACTAAATATGGCAAGGATAAACCATTACTGGCCACTACAAAAACACACTGAAGTACACAGACCAGTGATACTATGAACCAATCACATAACAAGTCTGAAAAATACCTAGCTAGCATCATGACAGGATCAAATTTGCACACAACCATATTAACTGTAAATGTAAATGGGCTAAATGCCCCAAATAAAAGATGCTGAATGGCAAGCTGGGTAAAGAGCCAAGATTCATCAGTATGCTGTCTTCAAGAGATGCATCTCATGTGCAAAGACACATACACGCTCAAAATAAAGGGATGAAGGAAAATTTACCAAGCAAATGGAAAACAGAAAAAAAGCAGGGGTTGTAATCCTAGACTCCGACAAAACAAACTTTAAACCAACAAAGATCAAAAAAGACAAAGGAGGTCATTACATAATGATAAAGAGTTCGACAGGAAAAGATAACTATACTAAATACATATGCACCCAGTACAAGAACACCCAAATTCATACAGCAAGTGCTTGGAGACCTACAAAGGGACTTAGACTCTCACACAATAATAGTGGGAGACTTTAACACCCTATTGACAATATTAGACAGATCATCAAGACAGAATATTAACAAAGATATTCAGGACCTGAACTCAGCTCTGGATCAAATGGACCTGGTAGATATCTACAGAACTCTCCACCCAAATGTTAAAAAGATACATTCTCATTGCCACATGACACTTATTCTAAAATTGATTGCATAATTGGAAGTAAAATATCCCCAGCAAATGCAAAAGAACTGAAATCAAAACAAACAGTCTCTCAGGTCACAGTTCAATCAAATTAAAACTCAAGATTAGGAAATTCACTCAAAACCACACAACTACGTGGAAATTAACAACCTGCTCCTGAATGATTCTTGAG